GGAAGGAAATGAATAGTATTTTGCCCCACTCCCTCCCCCAGCTCCTTTTGGCACTCGCTCGCTGTTTGGTTCTCTTCGCGTGCGTTTGGAAATGAAGATGGAGATTAGCCACAGGTTCTAATGATACTTTGACTCTATCATTCCCTAGGACTGGAATAAACTAAACCTTTTTTACCTCACGTCACCTTTCCTTGACCCAGTCCCTCTCCTGATACCAGGTACTCTTAGTGGTGACTATGTCGGCCATGATTGGTTTGTATCGACAGTTTTTCTCATGATGTATGGAGACCCTGATCTGGCCTGGGAATTCCTCTTCAAGTGCTCCAGTCTTGTCAGTTCTGGTTATCTGTGGGTTCGTAGACTACACGCTTCGGTAAGGAAGCATTTTAGAACTGCCATGTAACTCCCTAGCATGGGTGAGCGAGTATACAGTGAACTCCTCGACGGAGACCTTAAAGCGGGTTGTAGAGTAGCTCGTATTGGAGTCATAAACGAAGCCTTCACTTTACAGGCTGCTGATTAATGCAAGAAGTCAGATCTGTCCCAAACGCGTGCGTTACCAAGGGAGGTGAAAAACTAATGCAATCAGTTATCACAAGCTCTTCCACAGATATTGTAGTAAAATAAGCTCTAGCCACAGTCGGTGCCCAAATGGCAACTTGTAAATGGTGGCAAGTGCGAAAAAAGTCGTGTGTATAACCACAATTGGTGTGGATTTGCATCTGAAATCATCTTTGTCTTGGTTAAGCTTGCCTCACAAATAACGGGTTGTTGTCTTAGAGCTCAAAGTTCTTCTGAGCTTATTTTCTGATCCATATTCAAATAAGTGTGGTCTTCGGGCTGGTAAATGCTGTTATCTCCGTTGTCATGGCCCTAGCTCTAGAATGTAAATGGCACATTCCCCTGACTGTCCCCAAAGCTCATCAAGTGAGGCTTCGCTTTTCTAATCAGTGACGGCTACATGCATAACGCAATGTGTTCTTGTGAGACCTCTTGTTATCTGGCTACTCTAAAGAGGACTTCTGTAATTTCCTGATAAGTGTACAATCTGATCAGCCATGCATGACTTCAATTCTGTGCATCACCAGGCTAAAACAGAACCAGAGTGAAATGAATTTCTTTATTGTTTTTCTCAGGTTCATTTACCGGTGTCCCTCACAGTCAGCGGTATTCCTCCACTCTATTCATGCACGTGCCATAATGTGGAGCTGATACTGATGGTTTGTGCCTCAGTTAAACGTGCTTTGTACCATAGTTATTGTTGGATTATTCTAAAAGTCCTAGCGTAAAATGAACCCAGTCAACTTCTGTACCCAGTTTGTACCACTTATCTAGATGAAGTTTATTGTTCAATGTACGGACAAAATCTATCCTGTGACAGAGATACGAGACAAATCTGTCCTGAAGGTTGGTTATATGACCGTTTGTGATACACTGGACCCCATACGACGGGCGATTCATTCCCTATTTCTTTTCCATAACGTAACAAAGGCTGTTGTTCCTCCCCCCCCCCCCCCCCCCCCCCCCCCCCCCCCCCCCCCCCCCCCCCCCCCCCCCCCCCCCCCCCCCCCCCCCCCCCCCCCCCCCCCCCCCCCC